CCCAGCACTGCCTCCCGCCCCTCCCGCACCCCCCGCCCCACCCGCGCCCGGCCTCATGCCCGCGCCGCACCACACCGACGCCATGACCATCAAGAGGAAAGTCGAGACCAAGTATAAACTGCCTACGCTCAACTGGATCGCGCTGAAACCCAATCAGGTGGGTTACAACTTACAATATAAATTAGCAAATACATATAAATTGATTTGTTTTTTTTTTCGTTGTAGTATACGTTTTTTTTGTGTGTGTGTAGGTCCGCGGCACCATATTCAACGAGCTGGACGAGGAGCGACCTCGGCGGCGGATCAATTTCGCGGAGTTCGAGCAGCGCTTCCGGCTGGGCGGTGCCGGGGCAGGGGGCGGGGCGGGGGGCGGCGGGGGACACGCGCTCGCCGACACTGACGCCCTCGCATCATTCCCCAGCAAGCGCTTCCGCAAACCTGACACTGTCTCCCTGCTCGAGCACACGCGTCTGCGCAACATCGGTCAGTTTTACACACACACACGCATATACATATATGTATTCATATATCTTGGCAGCTTTCAGCTTCTACAATGTAAGGTGTGTTGGAGCATCGGTGATCTCGAGCCGCCAAGATATTTGAGTAGAGTTATACTAATACTGTGATAAAAAATAATTTTTATTATTTAATACTTTTACAGCGATATCGAGAAGAAAACTTGACACTCCAGTAGAAAAAGTAATAGCGGCGATCAACAATCTAGATCTGAAACAACTGCCGCTGGAGAGCGTCGAGATCCTCCAGAGGATGGTCCCAACTGAAGCAGAACAGAAGGCGTACAAGGAATACGTAGCTGAGAAGAAGAACATCAACCAGCTGACAGAAGAAGATAAATTCCTCATGCAATTAACAAAAGTCGAAAGGATATCAGCGAAGTTATCCATCATGAACTATATGGGAAATTTCTTCGACAACATACATCTAATAACACCTCAAATTCACGCGATAATATCCGGTTCATCATCAGTTAAATCCTCACAGAAGTTGAGGAATGTTCTGGAAATAATTCTAGCGTTTGGTAATTACTTGAACAGCAGCAAACGCGGGCCGGCGTATGGCTTCAAGCTGCAGTCTTTGGACACCCTCATGGACACGAAGTCTACGGACAAACGTGTCTCATTGTTGCATTATATTGTGGCCACAATACGACAGAATTTCCCTGAACTGCTCAACTTTGATGCTGAGCTACTTTACATTGATAAAGCGGCACAAGGTTAGTCAAACTTTCTAATAAGTAGATATAAATAATTATAAACAATGATTAAACGGGGGTTAGGGTTTCTGAGACCGAAATCTCTGTATAAACATGTCATTATATTTGACGAAACAGATAATAATATGTTCTAAACGGAATTTTTTGTCTCAGAAACTCACGGTAAAAAAAATTGGCCTAATAGTAAAACAGTAGCAATAGAAAAAGAAAAACGGCCTGTTTTGTTATAGTACGAGGAAATTATAGTTAACGTAACGAAGTTTAAAAACATATTGAACTGACACGTGACTATCACGTGACTTATCAAAAGATATTGTCAGTTTTATACATTTATTTCATATTCGTATTTTATAATTGTTTATAAGATAATAATGTATGTTGTACAATATACGCAGTGTCCCTGGAGAATGTAAGCGCGGACGTGTGCGAGCTGGAGCGCGGTATGGAGGCGGCGCGGCGCGAGGCGGAGTCGCGCGCGCACTCGCACGCGCACGCACACGTGTTGCGCGACTTCATCGCCAACGCCAGCGACAAGTTGCGACGACTGCGCGCTGAGACCAAGCATGCGCAGGTCACACACAATAAACAAATATATATTATATATTGTTAGGAAGAAATCCAACACTGTGCCGGTGTGGCGCAACACTAGTCTTACTAAAATGTCGATGTTTATGTCCCCTTACTAATCATTTTGACACTTGACTTGGTAATGAAAGCGCGCCATTCGCGCCAAATGATTCTAACTAACAATATCTGAAAATAATCGTGTGTAATAAATACTATTTGTAGCATAATCATTTGTCAGTGATCCGCCATTTTGATATGCTAAGTCTTATTCATTTTAAAACTCTTAAAGTATTTCTCGTTTTGAAGTATTATGTTTCGTTTTTAATAATTTCTTGTGATAGTAATAATAGCTAATTGATCGATGATAATATTATGCAGGACTCGTTCGCGATGTGCGTGGAGTACTTCGGCGAGGCGCCGCGCAGCTGCGACGCTAACGCATTCTTCTCGCTGCTCGTCCGATTCACCAGAGCGTTTAAGGTAACAATTTAACTTGACCTTGACCATACTTAACACCGAAGTCGGATCTCAAGCTTATTTCTTATGAGTGAAAGAGAAAAGACATATTTCTCTTTTACTCTTACGTGATGATTGTCTTTCTCTGTCACACTCATTGTAATGTTATATTCTGTCTCACGTGTATTGCAGCAAGCGGACGCTGAAAACGAGCAACGACGCAGGCTGGAGCTAGCGGCGCAGCAGGCGGACAGCGTCGACCCCAACAAGGTCAAGGTCGTACAGAAGAAGCAGCAGGTGCGTTGCAAATACAACCTTATATTAATACTAATAAGATACAAAATTAAATGACAATTTTGTTTAATTTACGACTTACGTTCAGTCTAATATCAACTTAATTGCTAACGAATAAGATATAAAATTGAACTAAAATTAAAAATTGGTTATCAATTTCATGGTGAATGTATCATAAATCATATATTATTTTGCTTTTAATGCATTTTAGTATAGTTTCATTGGTGAATATGTGCACAAAAACAATTATGTTTTTATACAGGTTTACGACAGTGGAAACTCGCGTTTACAATTGTATAGTTATTTGTTTTGAATGGAGTTATTTTTTTTTATTTAATTGTAGAATTTAATCTTAAAATGCATAATGAGGAAATATTTTAATTGTAATATTTAGCTCGTAAAATGCTTATTTAATTCATCTTAAGTTATTAAAAAAATAACTTTTACCTAACTAGATATATTTCAAGGTATATTGTATATAAAATTGTATATAATAACTATATAAAGGCTAGACTTACATAAATAAATTTAACTCTCATATTATTTATCATCTATATAATTTTTTTTCTGTTGAATATTAATCCAAAGTACTGAACATTTTTCAAATAAGATATGACCTAAAGGTCTATGTTACCAGGTCATTAAATAAAAAAAAAATTAAAAAAAATGTTGAATATTAATCGTAGACTTTGCATAATAATATTATACTTGCTTTTCATATCTACACATTTCATAGACAACAATTTTTTTAAATATATGTCGTTTTTAAAAATCTTATTTTTTTATAAATGAATCAACATATTTATGTAAATTTTAGAATAAATTTAATCTTTTCTATCAATGAATTTGAAAATTACATTAAATATCTGTAGATTTAACTTAAAAGTTCAAGTTCCTCTACTAATTGTCGCCCGCGACTTCGTCTGCACGGAATTTGAGAAAAAAATTAGTAGCCTATCTGTTTATCCAGACTATGTTCTACATCTATACCAAATTTAATCAAGATCCCTTTAGTTGTTCTTGATGATTTTAACAAATCCATCCATCCAAACATTCGCATTTATATTAGTAAGATATATAAGACGTGAATGCATTTGTTTTATTTATTTTATTATTTTATAATTTTTTGGTTATTTTTAACATTTGCTTTTGGTAATAGCAATATTTTTTATTTAATTTTGCGTTACACCATAGCACTCATTTGGCTTGGCTTATCTAGTAGTTTTTTTTAACACGTATATTAAATTTGTCACGTAGTTTGTGTTACCTCATATATCATAAACAGTTTTTGTTTGTTGCATAATTTAATTTGGCATAAAGACGTGGAAATGTATCAGTTCTTCGTAAATCACTATATATCATGTCTTATATAAAAAGAAAAAAAAATACACTCTTTGTATATAAAAATTATTATAATTAAAATTAAAATTTCTTTATTAAAGCATAAAAAAGTATTTGAAATAGATTCATGAATAAGTGATAGGAAGTAAAAAAAATTAAAAATTTTAATTACTAAAGAAGGGTCTTAACAGACAGACGGACGGACAACAAAGTGATCCTATAAGGGTTCTTTCCTTTCGAGGTACGGAACCCTAAAAAATTATTCATCATCATCAGCTCGTTATACGTCCCCACCGAGGGGCTCGGAGCCTGGACGCTGGCCAAGTGCGGGTTGGTTGACTTCACACATATCTTTGAATTACTTCTCAGATATGTGCAGCATCACGATGTTTTCCTTCACCGTTATAACGTCGGATAAATGTACATATGTAAATCGGAAATCGAAAAACACATTGGTACATGGCGGGATTCGAACCCAGGACCTTCAGATTGCAAGTCAAGTGCTTAACCACTGAGCCACCGACGCTCCCAAAAAACAATTATTATAGCTCCATACTTATTGCATCGAAGATAAGAAATATTTTATTTTGATAATATTTTAGTTTAAATGTATAATAATTTGTTAAAAATATATAAATTAAAATTCAATATATTAGGCCACTATGCTATCGTTTAAATGACGCTTCCATCATCAGCTCACTATACGTCACCACTAAGGGATTCGAAGCCTACACCAAGTTAGGAATGAATAGGACATAGTCAATCCTGATCCATTGCGGTTTGTTTGTATCAAATTAAACACATTGGTAGAGCCAAATATCTTTTTTTCATCATTTAAACGCTTCTATATTCATATTTCATTAAACTCGTTTTAATAAAATTCGATGAAATTCAACAGAAATAAATTTCTGATTAATTTGTAATAATTTAAAGGAGCCGCCATGATGGATCGTACTCCGACCGGCGGTGATGTAAGCCTAGCCTGATATTTTACGTAGACACAATACGTGCCAGTGTTGTCGTATTATACGTATCATTTTAATTTAGTCGTATTATAATCGTTTTTGATTTTTTTTTTAAATTAACTTGGTGATGGCATCAAAAGGTTTGTGTGGTCCACATGACAACATTTATTTAAGGGTATAAGTTACAAATTGAAACCTAAACATTTTAAAGAATTTTTTAACTTTAAAATTCGTATTTCTAAATTTTATCCTTCATACTTATCTTTTAACTTTATATGAAGTAAGGAAGATTGTTGCCATGTAAAATAATATTTGACATTTGGTTTTTTTTTACATTAGGTTTTGATTTGGAACAATGTATTTTACTAAATATTAGTCGTGTAGTTGTAAATAAAAGACTGTATTTTAACGTAGTGTTGCCATGTAGACCATATAGCTAGGGTGATGGTAACACCAGACAATTTCTCGCAGAGGTTTAACTACGCGGCGGTCAGCGCTGGCCTATTGCAGCAACACTTGTCTCAGTTGAGGCACAGTCTAGACCCAGTCTAGAATACTAGGACTGTAAGTCGACGTCCGATAGCACAGGGGCCTAAACGTTGCGTGTGTTTGTATCACTACTAACATGATTGTGTGTGTGTGTTTGTGTGTGTGAATGGTAGCAAATTACATTTAATTCATGTAAGGTAAAGGAACCAGTAATTGACCACTTAAGAGCGCTGCTAAAATGTTTTTTTTTATTGAGCACATACATTTAAATTTTAGAATATCAGTGGGTACTTAAAGAAAATAATTATACCCTTCAGATTCATCATCAGCTCACTATACGTCCCCACCGAGGGGCTCGGAGCCTACCCTAAGTTAAGGGTGATTAGGCCATAGTCAACCACGCTGGCCAAGTGCGAGTTGGTTGATTTCACACATATCTTTGAATTACTTCTCAGATATGTGCAGGTTGCATCACTATGTTTTCCTTCACCGTAAGAACGTCGGATAAATGTACATATGTAAATTGACAAACACATTGGTACTTGGCGGGATTCGAACCCAGGCCCTGCAGATTGCAAGTCAAATGCTTGACCTCTGAGCCACCGACGCTCTATTTTCAGATTAAGTTTTGCTTCAGTAGTTGACCAATCAAAATCTGAAAAAATTAGTAGTTAACCGTATGAATAAAAACTACTGTTATGTTAAATAAGACCACAGATATTTAAAAACTCAAAATTTTTATTTATATGCAAATAATTGTAGGAATTGGTAGGTTTGGATTGGCAACATTTAAAAAATTAGTAGGTTTTTATCCATCAAAAATATTACTTGGAAACCCATAGATCCATCTATAGGTTAAATCCAATGTTAGAACTATTTAAAATATAGATAAGTTAAAATAATTTTAACAAAGGACTTAAATTTAAAAAATATAGTATCCTAAGTAATTAGGGGGCTATTAAGTCGATTTCAAAATCTCACTTTAGCATGTTTTGTCTCTGACGAATGAACGAATACAGCTTTGTAAAACACGCATTTCTATGCATGGTTCACGTGGAAAACCAAACTCGGCACTAATTTATCAACTAACTAATGTTATTAAATGTCTATAGATGTACTTAGATTTTAATAATTTACACAATTAGATCTTTAAGGTTTTTATTCTTTTGTACCTTTGTCATTCCTGATATTAAAAAAAACTATTCAACAAAAATTTTGATAAGGGAAATTTACGATAACACTAATTTTCTTATATGGTATATATTTAAGTGTGTTGGAATTATTACTAGCGTAAAATATAATGAGTAGGAAGAATAAAAGATCTTATTTTAGGTGCGTTGCTTCATATCCGGCTCGAAGGACCTTTTAATATTGAATTATATACTTTTTAATTACACTGTTTATGTTAGAATTTATATATTAACTAAAGCTTATGTTATACGCATGGCATGTAAAACTACGTCGCATGTTTTTTTTTAAATTATTTATCACGTAATCGCTCTTATTTGCTTCAGTGGAAATTGCAGCTAAATTGTTTTTATTAATCACGGCTCTATTATTAATTAGTTTATATTTTTCTCTTAATTTAATATTTTTTATGTTTAAATTTTGCGTCATTTTTACCAGCTTATTACAATATTAGAACAAATATAAGTTTCTGAATAAATCAATTTAAAACTCTATAAGTGATTCTTAAGATAAAATTAAAAGACAGAAAATGATTCAGTATTTTTTTGAATACAGGAAGCTGTAATCAACGAACTAAAAACGAAATCACAAAGCGTCGGCGAAAAGAAACTATTACATCAAGACGAGGTATACAACGGTGCCTTAGAGGATATATTGCACGGACTACGCAGCGAGCCGTACAGACGAGCTGACGCCGTGCGACGCTCACACAGGCGACGCATCAACTCACACAGACTGTCCAAAGGACTGGAAGAACTGGATGTATGATATTCACCACCGTCTGCGCCTGAACACAATCCAGTGCGCAGAGCTGTACTGGCGATCAACGCGAGCGGAGGCTTCCCAGACAAGAAGAAACGTCGCAAAGATTTAGAAATGGTGCACAATAAACATGCCATATCTATTTATAACATCGAGGATGACGTCACAGATCTCCCCAAGGTCAAACCCTCCACCTACAAGGTGGCTCCAGTAGACCGCGAGGTGGAGGAGAGGTGCGAGCTGCTCAAGTCCACCTATGACGTCATCACCAAGTATACCAGAGCTATGTTTGATAAACAGAACGAGACAGTCGTCTGAGACATCGCTTTCTCACTCTCTACGGGTACTACACTTATGCCGACTCAAATATATATTCGATCCTTCAAATCTATCCGATTTTATTTACTTTGTACAAAAACTCTTCGATATTTTACTAAAGTATAGATCCAAATAGATTAAAAATGTCAAGTGAATAAGCAAAAATTCAAGATCGATTATAGAATTCAGCAAATATCTTTTATAATATTTGCCCGATATTTTCGTCTTTTGTATGTAGACTATGATTTTATGTATATATTATTTATGTGATAGAAAGTTACGTAGGTATTATAGAAATTATAATTTTAGTAGTATATTATAGTTTTGGTAGATTTTGTAATTTATATGGCAACACTAAATGTTTTTTGTAAATAAGTTTGAGGTTATAATGTGTAGTACCCGTACAATAAATACGCCTATAAAACGTTCCATGCTACTAACAACGAGACACGATATTTTTCTATGGTAAATATACATTTTTTTGTTACTACTATACAAGATTTTTGTAGCTTTTAGCACTTTTATATAGAACGCGCAGTAATCAGATTTTGATACGCTCGCTTTAGCACGAGGATTTTTTTTACAGGCAACAAAGTTTGATATAGTTCCCGCTAGGCCTTAACGCACATTTAAACACACAATTTTTGTAATAATTATTCGAAGTTTTTGGATTATTTAAATTATAAGGTTGTCCTTTATACATGTATTTTCTAAAGAAATGTACCGATAAATTAGTATAATTAACTGTTTTTACACCATGTTGTATGGATGCTGTATGACATTGTGTGGAAGTGGGGCGCATTTAAAAATGTAGAATTTTGTACCTACCGATATTGTGATAGTATAAATATACCAGTTTGTAATTTTTTTTAATGGCAACATTAGCCTATCTGTCAACTGATTTCTTTTTAAGTATTGAACATGACATTTGACATTTTATGATAGTGTTTCTTTAAATTCCATAGATTAAGTTTGAAGAGGTAATTTTTTTTTTTTATGATTATTTAATTTAATGTAAAGTTTATGTAATTTTAATGTTGATTTATGAACGTAATCTCAATATTTTTATTTGTAAATATATTATTTACAGTAATTTGTATTGTTTCCGATACGCATAATGTAAATATAGTATTTTTTTATATTAATATGTATTCACTCAAGATACTTGGGTTAGATGTAGTTAGGGAACGTACCCATACTACGTGACCCGTTTAGGGGGGGGGGGGGGGTCTTTAAATTACTACAGTCATTCAAGGGGGGGGCCTCAGATTTTAGTCACGTAGTCGTTACTTGTTTTTTTTTCATAATACATAATTCACTAGTAATTTAAGTATGCATGCAGTCTTATGCTATAAAGAAGAGTGCGAGCCAAATTATTTGTTTTTTAATGGTTGCCGGTTAAATGATTAAAAATCATAATTATGAATTACTACGTAAAAACTAAAGGGGGGGGGATTCTTGGCATTTACTACGAGTGGTCACCGAGGGGTGGGAGGGGTCGAAAAAACTAAAAATAAAAATTGGTCACGTAGTATGTGTATGTTCCTTTATGTGTAGTGCTTCATGTTTCTTTTATATAAATATAATTATTTTTAATTTAAACAAAGGGAAAAGTAATATATTATTTCACATACCATTTGGAATGAAGATACACACTTATATGGTTGAAGATTTTTTTTTAAATACTAAGACTACATACAAATGTCTTCGCCTTGTTATTTTTTTCTCATAAAGACTTTTTTGTTACCATGATTTAATAAAAAAATTAAAATTGTATTTTTTTATTTCTGTCTTATTTTTTTTCCACGAACTAGTGTGTTATCACCTTTATATTTGTTTAGGGGTGCTCATTTCCACATGTATCGATAAAACTATTTTAGTTTGGGTAAATTGTTGAGTTATTAATTAAACATTTAAGAAGTAGTGTAACAGGGTTCGATGCACAAATTAATTTGATAAATATAATTTTGATTTGTTTTTTTTTAAACACTCGATTACAGTTATACTTTAAAAAGGTAAATTATCCGACAATTGTCGATATCGATATAAAAAATTATTCGGTTGTGATTGTCGATTTTTTTCCACCTACTCACAATTTCTGTAAAGAAATTTGGTTTTAATATGTCTTCGTAAAATATTAAAGAAAAGGACAAATTTAGAAACAATTATTTTTAAAGTTGTTTAAAATTAACTCTTAAACTTTTTACTATATCGTTATTGACAATTGTGGAGGTAAGTTTAAGTTTAGTAGAAGTCTAATAGTTGATGTTTTGGTGTAATGTTCGCGGTGCGTTTGTGAGATGTTATAGTTTGTTTCATTGTGTACGCTAGAATTAGTGACAGTATTCAGTGATGCAATAAATAACGTATGTAATTTAATGTCTTTTCATTTCATTAAACAAGCTGTCGCCTGCGATTTCGCTTCGTCAACTACTTGATGTGTTCTTCCAGACTATGTTCTATATCTATGCCAAATTTTATCGAGATCCGTTGAGCAATTCTGCCGATATCTTCTAACAAACATCCATCCATCCATACTAGCTTTCGCTCGCGACTCCGTCCGCGTGGAGTTAAAAAAACATAACTATTAGCCTTTGTGTTCTTCCAGACTATATGTATAGAAATTTCATCGAGACCCGTTTAGCCGTTCTGGAGATATCTCCAAACAAACATCCATACATCAATTTAATGTAAATTTTAATCTTTTTTGTGCTCAGACAACACTATCGGATGGTAACATCACAGGAGGTAATAGAACGGGTCAAAGTTTATAGAAAGCACAAACAAACACAAGTTTGGTATTAGATGATTTATAGTCTGCAGACAAACAACTCTACCGTTTTCCCAATTTGACGAGCAAACACTATACCACTTTCGCTAAGGCACGCCTTTTGTGTACCGATATTAAATCCAATAATACCCTTCCATGGATGACGTTTCAAAACAATAAATATACATAAATGTGTGGACAAAAAAGATTTATCAACTTTGAGGTTATTTTTTGTGTACATTGTATCATAGAATGCAATTATAATATTGTCAAAGATCTCATTAAAAACTACAGGAAAGTATGCGATAAAATTATTTATATTCTATCATATAAATTATATATTTACTATGTACTGTTTATAGTTATTATGGTACAAAAACAAACGTCAACATCTTGTTATTATGATACGGTTATCGCAGTACAAAGGACAATGGAAATTTATATCTTGTGCTGTCTTCCTTTGCCTATCTCCGGGCAATACGACCCATTTTGTAGCTAAATTTTATAGTATAAATATTATATTTTTCTTATGAATGTAGCAAGCAATCAAACCCACTTACAGGTCACCCCACACAGTGGCCCTGCGGGTGGGCTATTGTAACGTAAATTTTCTAGACAATTTTATTTTCAGCACATCAAAATAAAACTACATATATAAATTGAAAACAACAGCACGGCAGCCATAGTGCATTTATTCGTCGTGTAAGTGCTTATACTAAAACTATTATTTACAATATTAGTTCATTGAACATTCACGACTACATTTCGTTGTTAATATTTCCAGCGCGATTCCCTTCTGTTTTTTTCACCTATAGTTTTCTTGATAAAAAGGCAAAGGTTCTTAGTGGCCAGTATGCCACGTCTTTGTCAGAATGTTTAATTCTGCATTCGACGCTACGAATAAATCTTAACACATGTTTCATAGTACTTGTTGATTTACTAAATTTACAATATTTGTGTTATGAAATATTTAAAAACAAATAAAACGTATGCAAACGGTAGCGTCAAGGCGTCGGCCTCGGTAACCGTTTCTAATTATTGAATCCAATCACGATCTTACCGTACGTCACGGAACAAATTTATTTCACGGACCATACATCAAAATATATGAAAAATATTCGACGATTGAAACTCGGCCTCCAGACTTTTTATACATAATATTTTTCAAATTAATAAAGTAAACGCGAATGGATGGATGTTTGTTAGTATTTTCATAGCTACACAACGGATCTCGATGTATTTTGGCATGGATGTAGAGCTTAGTCTGGAAGAACACATAAGTTACTTATTACCTTTCTTTTAATTTCGCACAGATGGATAGTCTAGATATAAAACTATTTAACTCTAAATTATCAAATATACTCGGACATCGAAGTAGATCCTTGATTTATAATTTAAATTAAGCAGTTTTATAGCATTATAAAAATGATTGGTCAGTTAATTGCTGCGTGACCCATATAGATGTAATTCCGACGAGCGTTGCTTCCTGCTGCCGTAGTTTTAAATAGACGATGCGTGATGCAACACCTTAAGACTAACAGCTCGCAGCAAGTGTCGACTGATACTCAAATGATAGTTGTTGGAGGAAAACAAAGTGGTTTCTAAGACCAAAATCTCTGTATAAAACATATCATCTTTGTCATTATCGTTGACAAAACAGAGATGATGTGTTAAATCGAGGATTTTAGTCTCAGAAACTCACGGTAATGTTAAGTCATCTCAAATATATTCAAATGAGTATTACGCGACAATGTGCAATCACGAATAAAATTTTATAAATATACTTAAAAAGGATGACGCATGTAAATGAGAAAGTTAAATGTATTTTCAGTTTGCGTACAGTTTATTATTTTTAATTATATCTGTATGTTTTTAAAATCAAATTGCAGACATACATCGATGTTACACTTGTTGAATGCAAGCTGCATGCATGATTAAATATAAACGGCCATCAACTACGAGATCGTATTTATTACGGAGCAAATTGACTTCTAAATTTTTCAATCAACGCTTAAGTACCAGATAACGGTTGGCCCTTCGTAACATGATAAAAAATGAATGCGAAGTACTATGTTGACCTTATTTGTTGGTAGCAACGACTCGCTTTGTGATTTGAGGGGCCCTTTACAAAGAGTGACCTTATAACGCAGTACCGACAAACATAAACTGTTTTGTACTTGAAATTCTCTTATAGCCATTACTTGAATGAGTATTTTGTGTGATAAAATGTTTCGATACCTTAGTTTTATCATATTATTTAAGTAATTATAGGAGGAATTTATAGTAAAAGACCTTTATTCTGAAAATAATTCTATTTCGTGAAAATAAAAGTCGAACTAAATATTTCGAAATTTAACACATATTTTGTTCATCAAAAATTATTGCATCACAATTTTTTTTATATATCATAAGGTGGCAAACGAGCGAGCGGACACCTAAAATCGCTGAAATAGCGAAGTGACCGTTGCCCATAGACATACGCAATTGCATATGCGTTGCCTATCTTTAATCGACGGAGGAGAGGATGCACAGAAAGAAAATATTTTCCTTCCCCATGCATCCTCTCATCCGGAAAGTCCACTTCCACTTCCCATTTCTTATAAGAAAAAGGTAAAAATTTAAATGAATACAAATAAAGCATCTATTATAGGTTCTTTCCACATAAAAATACATTTGCCAAAATAAAGTATAAGGGAAAGGACTAGTCAAAAATAAAAAAGAAGGTTTTCAAATCACTATTTTAATGAGTCACTTAAATACAAAATAACGTAATATAAAACTAACGTACACATTTAACAACATCGCAAACAAAAATATATTATGCTTCATATGTCAATTATAGATCTTAATATAATTAATCATTTTTATAGACGAAAAGAAATACAATATAAAAAAAGTTGGCACTGATTTATAAGTCAAATAAAAAAAATGATTTTTAATATGTTTTAAGAAAAAAATATATATAGTTGACGAGCGCACCCAAAACAAATAATACATGATGATGATGATACATCGTTCTTTAATGTAAAGAACGATGTATCATCATCATCAGCTCTCTACACGTCCCCACCGAGGGGCTCGGAGCCTACCCTAAATTACGGGTGATTAGGCCATAGTCAACCACACTGGCCAAGTGCCGGTTGGTTGACTTCACACATATCTTTGAATTTCATATTGAACGATGTATATTCAATATTAATTACTA